TATAAGGTTGAAGATTAACTGTTATTCTGCCTGAAACAAAGGCGCCGTTTTGAGTCAGTAGCCCCAATAGGTCATATGCTGGAGAAAAACAAAATGAGGGGCAAGTAAAGGTAGCCTGTGAACTAAAATGGAAACATCAGAAGTTGTAGGGTCCCATCTACCTTGTTTTTCCTATGAAGCACTAAGCACCAAACTTCAAGTTTAGGCTTAAATTCTGTTTTGAGATACTTCTCTGACCACAGCAAATTTGACACTTGGTCCCTGTTGTACTTTCCATGTCTTAATTTTTCCCCCCTTCTTCCCCTCGATTTAGGAGGTACATATTAAAATTTGAGCATAATCTTTTGGACACTCCTTTCTTTTCAGTACTTTTTTTGGTAATCTATAGATGACATTTCAATGCTCTTCAAATTTCTACAATACGTTCCCATTCTTAGCCGCCCCTATTATCTGTCTCGATTTGTCTCTGTACAATGCTTTCTTTGCTTTGGACTAAAACCAAATAATTAAATGGATTGGCCAAGTAGCTTCATTTATAGTCCAAATGAAAACTATTTTTTGCCAAAAAACCAGAAAAAATTGAAAAGAACAAAGAGTACAACTAACTCATTTCCTTTAAGTTTACTATGTTATTGAAGACGCAATCTTTTCCAATTTTAACAGCTTTCCCTAAGAACTGTAATTGTATTTCTTATATGTTAACGTTTATCTTATTCGTTAATGAGAGTTTCCCTTAGTCCGATACAGTTTTCTTTTACAACTCACGTTCCTTTTCCCTGTTTAGCATGGTTTAACTTTTACTTGATGGATGAAATTTACTGCCAGGCTTGTTCCGGAAAATTGCTGCTGCTTTACCAGGGCATGAAACACTTTCCTTCAACAAAGCCAAGAAGACATGGTTGAATGTGAATTTGAAGTCTTACAAGTGGAAAGTGACATCACAGTTCCCAGGGTCAGGTCTGCGTCCGGATGTGCCTTGTTAATGCCTGGAAGCTTTATCATTGCCAAATTTTCTGATGCTATAGAATTTTGTTCAGCCTGTTAATGCCTGTAAACGTTTAATTATTTGCATTTTCTGATGCATGAGAATTTTGAAAACCAAATTTTTACCGGGATTTGGTAAATGTTCAGTTTACCTTTTTCTTTCTTCTTCTTCTTCTTTTTTTTTTTTTTTTTTTTTTTTTTTTTTTTTTTTTGTCCTTTTTTTTTTTTTTTTTTTTTTTTTTTTTTTTTTTTTTGTCCTGTTTGCTTGAGAAACTTCTTGGCAGCACAAATGACTGGAGAACTAGGTGTGGAAAGAATTGCGATCTATTCTTGTGTTTCTTAGACTGGACATATAGCTTGCTCTATGTGGGGTCGAACTTACTGTCAATCATAGGTTTTATTGTTTGTTTTACCATAAATAAAGTAATAATTGTTTTTTTTACCATAAACAAAGTAATAATTGTTTTTTTTTTTGTCTCTTGGGGTTAACATAGATACCTTTATTTTTGGGCCAATTGAATGCAATTTTTATTTAAACAAAATAAAAAGAATTATTCACATTTTCAAGAGAATTTTTTAAAAAATAAAATCGGAAAAAAGAGATTTTCAAGACTAAAATTTATATAAGTTTTTTTATGATGGACATTGCGTGTTAACTTTACTCTAGTTGTAAATCGTTTACTCTAGTTGTAAATCGTTTAATTTTATCTCGTTTAATTTTTCATTTATATAATATTAGTTCTTATTTATGCAATAAATATTTTCTTTTTTTGTTACATATCTTGAACTCTAATATCTAATTAAAAAGAAAATGATATTTCTATTTTTCCCTTTAAATTGCATTTATTCTTTTTTTTTTAAACTCTAAAAAATAGTATTTTTCATTTATATTCTTTTTAAAGTACCGGTCCCGTTCTATTGCAGAAAATATTATATTAGTCATTATCTTTTATGTTTTAAGTTATCCAACTTGAATTGATGAAATATAAATGCTTATGAAATTTCCATCTCTTTAATTTATATTTGCTTTTAAGTTTGATTTTATTTTAAATACCTATTTTAAATATAATAACTAATATATAATATTCTATTCGTAATTTTGCCAAGAGGAGGTAGGCATAAATATATTGTTTAAATTAATTTTATTATTAAATTACATCACCATTTATTTTGATTAAAAACAATGAAAATTAATATACTTTATAAAATAAAAAAAAATAAAAGAACTACTATTTCAAAAAGAGTGAAAAAATCAAACTCGTTGAAAAAAAAACTATTATTACTCAATAAGTTAAAAATATATTTAAAGAACTAAAAATTTAATATCTAATTTTTTATTTAACATGCAACTAAAACTTCGTCTCTTTCAATTTGCCTTTTGTTTTGGAAACAACTTTGGTAGATCCCTGTAATTCGAAACCTATTGTCTCGTAACAATATTCAATATGCTCAAAACTTATTTTTGTGATGTACTTACACTCTGAATGAAGTCCGTAATTGATAAGAAAAAATAAGTCTGAAGTAATAAAAAATAAAATTAAACGTATTGACTAAATATGCCAAAAACGTCAAAGTTCAGTATTTTTTCCACTTTATTTACCTAAAATAAAGTGGAAATCATACTAATGCACAATACAAAAGAAATTCAAGAATAATTGAAAAAAAAAAATTAAGAAACTAAAATCAAGAGAATCAATTGTACCATTTTATATTAAAAAACTAAAATACAATAAATTGAATATTTACTGTAAATTGCATAAATAAAAATTTATAATTTTTTATAACAAAAAATTTGATTAAAATAGGAAATATTATATCGAATGAAAATATAGATTTATTATATAATTTTAACCGATAAAATCATTTATTTTTTCAAGCAATAAAATTAAAATTTTATATTATTACCATATTTAATATATACCTTATTCGATATATAATATAACTTTTTATTTTGTCAATAAACTTTAGATTTAAATAGAAAACTAATATAACTAATAAAATTTATTTATTCTGATAGTATGATTTCAATCAATAAAATCTTTTATTTTTTCAATCAATAAAATTAATTTCTTGTATTCATATCTAATTGAATTATTATATTCTTACCATATTTAATATATAGAATATTTAATATAAAATATAATTTCTTATTTTAACCAATAGAATATAAATTTAAATTGAAAAAAGTATAGCCAATTAAATTAAATTATTTTATTTTTTAACTAATAAAATTAAAATCCTTAAAAATATTCTTGTAAATCACGAATTTTAATCATTTTAATTGCAGACAGTACAATATATACTACTATATGATTCTATCTAGTTTGTGTTTTGAGTGACATGTGAATCACGGGACCATTTGCTTAGCCCTATATATTTCTCAATTAGATTGATGCTTGTTGTCTCCTTGTAATGATATGAAAAAGTTCAGACATAGATATTATGATTGTGGCTTGTCGGTTTCCTGAAAGATGGCTTGTCGTTTGTTAATTGGTAATTTTGTGGTCAAACTCAAAATGACCATAATACGCTTCTCCTCACATATCAGAAACCCTGAAATTATTGACTATTGCCTAATTTTGAGTCTCCAAATTTTTATTTTTATTAAAATAAGTTATTATCTAATTAAAGATTAGAAAGTGATAATCATAGAGTTAAATGCATGTTGAATTTGATTAAAATTTCTATTATTTTTGTAAAATTAAGTCAATGAGCTTTTATTTTTAATCTAGATTTTCATGTATTATGTTATTATCAAGTTTATTTCTTGTCATTGGTGGTTTGAATTTGCCACTTACACTCGGCTGTGATGCACGGACACACGAAAGGCTTGATGTTTTCATGTGTCGAAAATGGAAATACTTGGAAATGGCTCTGAAACGCGTCAGTTTATTTCCATAAATACTGAAAATCGGACACCTGTTTTTCTCCGGAAACGTTTCTTACATTAAAAAAAAAAAAAAAATCAGATTTCAAATCTAAATCAAATTTGGATGATTTGCAAATCTTATTTGGGAAATGACAAATAATCCTACTTTTAATTTCAATATTCAAACTTCAAATTTAATAGAATTTCATTTTTCTTTTTCCATTTTGACATTTGAATATTTTGTTTTCTTTTTTCTTTATTGAGTATGGAACTTATGAATTGATTGTCCTTTAAAAATTGTAAATGTACTCTTTCTAAATTATTTTTATATTTATTCTTATATTTTTAAATTTTATAAATAAATCCCTATATTTTTTATATTTATTCATTTCTCCCATGTTTCTATTTTCTATATTTTTTGAAATGTCATTTTTCCATGTCCGTTTCCGTGTTTTCCTGTTTTCCCGTTTCCGTGTCCGTGCATCATAGATACTCAGTCAATTTAAGGCTTAAACCTTATCAAAATGAAGGTTGAAGGGCTTTATATCAATAAATAAAAGTTTAAAGACTTAAGAGTTATTTGTTTTGCCTTGTGGGATTGATTTATCTAGACCTATTTTATGGATCTACCCATTGACTAAATTAAAGAAAAGTAATTTGATAAAACGAGGTATTTCTGATCATACATAAAAAAAAAGGATGAAGTAGAAATAATTTTTTTGAAAAATTCCTATTTTTATTTATTTGGTCCATGAATGGAGCTATAGACTTGGTGTAGACAAGTTTAACCCTTATCTTATTGACAGTTTATTGGATATTGAACTTATTTATTTAGACAATAATGAAATAACCTTGTGTTTTTTTTTAGCTAATAAAAAAGCTGATTATTTGAATTGCAAACCAAATTTTGTTTAAATGAATTTTTTTATAGAGTTGATTTAATAGAAAAAATGAAATACAAATTTTAAAATACAAATGAATTTTTTTATAACACCATATATCATTTTTTAATAATTCGGTAATTAATTTTTAATACCAATTCTTAATTGTTCAGCTCAATAAGCGTTAATTTAGATTCAACATTCTGAATTTAATCCAAACTAACGATTCTTGATAGACAAAACATTATGAAAGTACGAATTCCTCATGATAAAATATATTGAATAATTCAAAATGCTAAAATAAACACCCTTATAATAAAAATGGGAATTACACAAAGCACTGTTTGAAACTTACAATTCCAATTAATTATTACATATATAATTTTTTCAATAATAAATATACGATTATAACAGAAAAAAAGTTAATTTAACTTTGAGGCGCGGGGAGAATAAGCCAATGGATAATACATAGTGCAATATCGCATAAGTTGAAGAGATTAAAATTTTCCAATGTTAATGGAGAAACCTCTCCTTTCTTCTGTGTAAACCCTTCTTCACATGTTGTTGCTGCTTCCATAACTGCACTAATTTTGACATTAGAGACATGGTATTTCCCTGTCAAGAAGGCCGCGACGCCGTCTACCAGCGCCACAATAGCATCGGAATACAGTTCCAAGCAATCCTGCAAGCAAGCCAACGTGTACGGGCTAAAACTTTTCATATCGAACAAGCTTTTTATATTGGCAATTGTAGTGGTTGCATTTTCAAGAGCTAGTTCCATGCTAATAACGGCTATTCCTTGGAGGTTTGTGACATGGCTTGCCGGAATTACGTCGAGAGAGGTTTGGCAGAACTCGTAGATGAAAGAAGAAGATTTTTCAGCGCATCTTTTACAGGTTCTGTTCAGTATATCGATTGTTGTTGACTCATCGAGGGCAAAAGTTTTTTCAATAGGGTTTGACAAGAAAAAGAAGATCAAAAGGAAGCTAAGAGCAAAGATGGAGAAAGAAGTATTACGAGACATTTTTCTTTTTTCTGTCAAATGTTAATTACAATGGAATAGGTTATGTCAAATATGTTAACCTTGTGTTTCTTTTTATAAGGAAGTTTCCTTTTGGCATAGTAACTTACTGCTCCTTTAGCTACTAATAGTGAGTAATAAAAAAAATAAAGTGATTGAGGCTACGTATTATGATTCATGCAAGTGTTTGCTTGTTAAGTAAATTTACCTTTTGTTTTATTAATTAAAGTTAGAAAATTAAATTATATGTTAAGAGTTTAAGGATACTCTCCTTGCTATTTCAGAATTATTTTTTTCGGAGATTTTATCAACAATTAAACTGCGATCAATAAAGTGATGGACAGTCTAATTTTACCCATTGAGTCAACTTTTATTTTATGCAATTATTTTTTTTCTTTTACAAATCTTTTGTGTGATTTTAGCTTAGAACATCCATTTTTTTATCGGACTAAAATTATATGCTTAATAAACAAAGGAAAAAACTTGCCTATACCGGGTCATGACCTCATCTATAAACCAAACCAATGAGACATAGGATTCTTTAAAGAGTGGTGTGAGTTTATATATCCTTTTTTTTTTTCCAAGTGTATGGTCAGAAATACTTTCATTTAAATAAAAATCATAAGTTTCATTGATTTAGTACATAAGTAGGGCCATGAACCATCTAGATAATTTTTTCCATAAACAAATGTCTTAATGTAGTAGTAAGATGAAGATTGGGCATCGAAATTTGAATTTCAGTAATTTAAATCTTCCCTCTTAATGGTGAAAACTCCCAAAAACGAAAATTGTGGGCTGAAAAATAGAGTTAAGATAAATCTTATTGATCACAAGAAAAGCAACCAAATAAATAGAGTGAAGTGATTGAGGCTTCTCTTGCATAGCTAGCCAAATAGGAAAAATGCCAAATAATTTCTAATTAGTGTTCATCTTTTGATAAGAGAGGTTTTATGTATTTTTGCATATGTGTGGGCTTTTAGATTTCTAAGAAAAGGAACTTTCCTAGAAGGTGGCCGTTGGGAGAGCTTAATTTTGAAGATCAACCGGATGCATATTATTTGAATTTTTCTTTATACTCAAATGTCAATTACACAATTGGAAAATACTGTCTTTGCATTGTGCTTTTTATTTTATAAATTTTGTTCATGTAAAATAAATAAGACAATTTAATTTGCTGATGTGACCCATTAAAATGGTGAAATTTGTGCACAATATATGTTAAAATAGATTTTTGCAGTGATTAAACTAGATTTAATCATTAGTGACAGCATCACGTCGGTCACTAAAAATCGTTTTTTTTAGTGATTAAAATAGATAACAAGTACCGAATTTCTAATTTAAACAACTCTAAGTTTGATTGTATTATTTATTATGGTGATGTAAGTATAAATTAATATTAAAGCGGAAGTGGAAAATAATTCATTTTATATATTTTCACATTTTATAAGAGTGGGAATTGAAATATCTATAATCTTTTAACATGCATAAGTCAATTTGGAGTACAGGTGGTTGTAGATGGGCCTTGTCCTATGTAAACAAGGGGGAGTCTTCTCCTCAGTTTGACAAGCTTTGTTAACCATTTTTCAAAAATGACTTCAAGTTCTTCCCAATAAAAGATATTGCCTCTTCTGAATATTTGTGAAGAGGAGGTTGGAGGATTGATATTATTGGGTGCTGCAGACGTTAGGTCTGAAGAGCAGCCCGCCCACTCTGGTTGGACGGCTTCTAACTGACAAGAGCATCAACATCATTGCCGAATTATATATGGCGTCCCTCTGGAGGCCAGCAAGCAGTGTCAGTATTCATGAGGTGGCTCGTAACTTGTTTCTCTTTCAATTCTTTAATGAAGTTGATATTGAGAGGGTTGATGATAGCTAGGAATTAAGCAGCGGGAATAATCCAGGATCACAAGTATGAAAATAAATTAGAACACAAATGACACAAGAACTAATTTGTTGTACCATAAAATCGTTCATTAGTATTCTTTCCAGATATCTTCAAGTCACCCTGCGAATGAATAGCTAGGAATTAAGCAGCGGGGAATAATCAGGATCACAAGTATGAAATAAAATTAAAACACAAATGACACAAGTAATTAATTTGTTGTACCCAATAAAATCGTTCATTAGTATCTTTCAGATATCTTCAAGTCACCATGCAGTCTTCTAATTATTTGATATTAATTGATTCTATGAATACTATGTTTATGGGGTAGGCAGACAATAACAGATATGTCTATTTCTGAGAGACATATTTGTAATTTTTTTCTTCTGAAATACTCACTATATCTGCGTGTATTCAAAAACCAATAATATCTCTTATTTGCGTGGGAGGACATAATGAATAAGATTGATCGTTCTGACAAATGATAAGATTGATCGTTCTGTTATCCATGCGGTTAATATTTTAAATAAAATATATTATTTTTTTAATTAAAATTAATAAATAAAATTTTAATTAAAAATTAATCTATTAATTATTTAAAATACATAATCCACGTGCGGTCCAAATAATGAAGGCACAATAGAAATCGCAGGAATAAATTGATAAAGCTACAAATTATATTAAAAATCCATACAGGACTAGTATATTTTTATTATAATTAATCATAAATTATTCCACTAAAAATTCATGATTGAACTCCTTATTAATTTAACTTTTCACAACTTAATAATTTATGTTTTCCATGTAAAGATTACAGATGTTTGTCAAATAAAATAAATTACTGATAATTTAGTTAAATAACAATTTTAATCTTTAAGATTGTCGCTTAATTTATTTCATGTGCCGGATTAAAAATCCACCAGCAAGGTTTACACAATAAAACATTATAAGCTTATTTAAAGTACATCACCATTCTCTAAATCGAGACATGGATTCTATCATTAATTGATATTTCACAAATATAAGTTGCTTTTGCCCAATTCACCGAGAATTATTATTCCGATAAATGAAACTCACTCTTTAATGAATTAAAGCACAAAGCAATGTATATTTGCTCATATTAATTAAATCAAGATTATGAGCATAAATCTTATTTCTAATGTCCCAGAGAATATATTTTAAAAGTCGAAATAAAACGATCATTCTTTACTTAGTCCAGTTAGATATATACAAAATGTACTAACACTTTTATTATAAAATATGCTGAAAATTTTATTCATTTAATGCAAATCTCCAATTAAAAACATAAAAATAATTGTTTAAAGAAATAACACAAAAACATACTGTTACATTTGCATAGTTAATGGTATATCTCCATCAATTAGAATGGATTCTTAGACCTTTAATCAGCATTTGTTGCTATTCCAATTGCTGGATCCTGCAGAAAAACCGCATAATCTCTCTTTCATACTCATATATGGATCCAAGTCCATGGCCTCTCTCATGGCTTTAGTTAGAAAAAAATCGCGGAGTGGATCAGAAATTATGCTGGCACTTTTTCAAAATTCATGGTCATAATTTCACCGGACTTTGGAAGAATTTGATGTTTGGCTTCCTTTGAAGCGAAAAAAATGCGTATCTGAAAACCTAACGGAAATTATATTTTTGTTCATTTCAAGCAAGAGGAGCTACCAAATTTCTGCATTCTATCTAATAAATAAAATTCATTTGTGAATAAATTTTTAAATGTTCGGAATAAATTTAAAATTGAAAATTTATTGCTTTTGTTTTCTAAAATATTCTTAGCATAATAATTTTAGAAGGTTAAGAAGATGAATTGTTTTATCATAAAATTTTGGTTTATTTAGAATTCATAGTCATTCCATCTTTTCTAGTAGAAATTTGATTTTATTATATTCAAATCCATATAATTGAATTCTTAAAATTTTAAATTATTTTTTTAATACCAAAAATAAAAATTTGAACTTATAAATGAATCTCAAAAAATTATGCAGAATTCATTTATTCCAAATAAGGGTCGATATTCCAACAAGATCATGGTATAATTTCATGATTTTTCATACATAATAACTCAACCAAAATCCATTTGGAGCACTAGATATACATTCTTGAGTAAAAATGCTATTTTCTAAGACATAACCATACTTTTTTTATATTTTTAATTAAAAGCACTTTTATTTATTTAATTTAATTCGATAAAATAATGAATAATTAATTCATAATATTTTACATCTAATTTGAACCACAAATCTCCATGAAATGCCAAGAAAAACCCATAAAACCTTAGAAAGCAAAATTGGAGCTACTGCGGTTGGCGTCGAAATGAGTCCAATGAGACAGGCCAACCTGCAAAACGATAATTAATCCTTTCCAGACGACACGGCGACTTACCAGCCTACTCCGCCACATGACCTTCTCTGCACGCCGAACGTCAAAGGCGACATGACATACAACCTACCTGAATGAAGCTCGCCTATGCACTCAACTCATCAGCCTCCTTTCGACGTATGTCATGTCCTTTAAGTCCACCTATCCAAACCATAAAGAATAGTATCTTTCTTTGACAGGTCTCCGCGGTTTGATGCTTTTTCTTTTTTTTTTTCCCTCTTTTCCTGGAGATAAATAAATATTAGTCATAAAAATTAAAATAAATTTAATAGTACCAATTTCATTGGTCTTTTTCACTAATATAAAGAAAAAATCATTATTCTTATGAGCTCAATTAATTCCATTACATATCAAAATAATAAGTTCTGATCATAAAGTTTTTAGTATTAAACTCCAGCTTGGGATCAACATAAAATGAAGGTAAGGACCCTAACGAATGTTGTGTTGGCTTTACGGGTTGCGAGCGGAGAAATAGCATATACTGATACTGAATAAATATATTTATTGTATTTTTCTATTCTTGTAAATAGTGAATGTAATTAGTTAGCTAAAATTAAATATTTGTAGCCAAGGAGTATATGTACAGTTGTAAAAAACAAAACAATCAACTCATTTTTCAATGAGAAATATTTTGCTCTTTCATACTTTTACTCTTTCATCGTTTTCTCTTTCTAAAACTAACATGGTATCAGAACTTGAATTGATGGCTTTTTTCTATCGCCAATCGATTTTCTTATTTCCTTTTGCATTTGATTTATTAATCA